CTCTTTCCTGCCATGGCAAGGGGTCGGACTAGATGATCTCCTCAGGTCCCTTCCGACCCGAGAAACTATGAAACTATTTTCAGGGACAGTTAAAAGCTAGAATAAAAAGATAACTTTTTTTAGACTTTCAGAGGTCGGCAACAAGAACAGATGGAGAAAACCACCGTCAAGAAAACAGATAGAAAACATTATAGACAACAGGAGGTAATTTCTTTAAAATTGTTTGCCTGCATTATCAAGCTAACAGGCCGCTTTAAATTGGCTATTCTTTTTCCAAAGTAATATCCACTTTTCAACTAGAAAACAGGTTTTTTTACAGTGAGAAACATCGCCTTTCTACTCCTCTATGGACAAAGCACTGAATCTTTTTGTGAAGTTAAAATACCTGTCATTTTTTACCTTTATTTAATCCATCCCCTACTATAGCCCTAATGACAGAATCTTTATTACTTTAATATAGAGAACATTGAGGTCTAAAGCCTTACCTTTCTGCAAATCTTCCTTTAAAGACTTCACTTGCAGCAGCAGGGGGCTTCAATACAAGAGTGAGATAAAGTAAAGAGATGAATATGGGGAAACAGCTGCCTAACTTGCTCTCATTGAAAACATCTGAAACTCTCCACCACAACAAAGCCACTGTAGGAGCACTGTACAGGGGATAAGGTACAGCATTTACTATGCTAAATGGCAGAAATGGTACTCAATTTCAAAGAGAAAACAACTAGCCATCCCCGCTCTTCAACCTCATCACCCTTGCTCTCTACTCTATACAAGCTAGATATTATTATACAGACCTATTCCTCATCTCTCACAGAAGTAGAAAACAGATGCAAGGTAACAGCAGCTACATGAAGAATATAAAGGCCTGGAAGCTATTTCATGTTCAGCTGTGATCCTTACTGGGTACAGTTGGCAAACTGCAGAACCAAATATATGTGAAACAGTCCAGATTTCAGGAAAGGCCAGTTGATCACACAATCATAGAAAAGTAGCACTGAGGAACCTAAGGAGGTCATCTACTCAAAACCCATGCTCAAGGCAGGATCTTCCCTGCCTAAACCATGCCAGACAAGCGTTTGCTTAAGCCAGTAATGTTAAACATAGGGCCCATGGCCTGGATCCTGCAGACCAGCCCAGTGATGCTCATCCAGCCAGTGGAGTCGGATGAGCCTGACACCCCTGGTCTAAGCCACTCTTCTAACAGATTCCATAACTGCTCCAGATAAACTGTTCCAATGCTTAACCACCATCACAGTGAAAAAGTTCTTCCTAATATCCAACCTAAATTTCCCTTGCTGTAATTTAAAAATGTTACTTGTTGTTCTGTCCTCTGTAGCCATAGAATAGTCTATAACCATCCTTTTTATAGCCACCCTTCAGGTGTTTGAAAACTATTATCAAATTATCCCTCAGTCTT